CTAATGTTGCATCAGAGAGATCAGAGCGCAGATGGCCGCAATCTTCAAAGGAATTTCCAATCTTGATCATATCCTTAGATGCTCAATATGGTCCCAGTTGTGAACCCCACTATTTTGAAGTGTGCTTGTAGTAGCTAAAAGGCAAATTGTGCTCCTATAGCTCCTGGGATCATCAATAGAAGAGGATGCACTTTCATTGATTGAGCCAGCTCAATAAGAAGAAGGAACAACCAGTGTTGTTGTGGCATTAGTTTGTGGTAAATCGTGACAGTTTCCGCCTCACTAATGGCAGCAAGTGGCGCCTATAGCGAGGTAATGGCGCAGCCTCCAGGAACTTGAGGTTTCAGAGAGCAACATCTTAAGGGCCACTTGTCCTCACCCCATCAGTCAATTGCAAAGCCTGCACCTAAGAGAAGTAACGAGTGTTCCAATTGCCAATTTCTGCATTGTCCAGTCCATGAGTTTCTTCTCCCCGTTTTTTCTTGTTTTGGAATGACAAAAAGCAATGTGGCCATTCATACCTCTTTAAATTATGTTTTGTTGGGGATTTACTCTTCTATTCAAATCAATATTAGAGAAAAATAATTTCAATTTTTTTTTTTCACTACATCTAAACGGTTTCCATCTCCATACTCTTCCATGAAGAGGGCTCCCCAGCCTGGTACATCATTTGTTATGCTTTCTGGTCATCCATAGGAACACACTAGAGCCTGAATTTCTCCAAAAAAGATCAAAAGATTTAGTTATGGCAAAAAAAAAGTGATTGACATTATTATTTTTGATATTTTTCTTTCAAATATCACAGAAAGCAAAATTTAATCAAACTTTGATCATTGTATTATTTTTATAGGTTTTTAATGCTATGCAAACATTAAATCATAATTTAAATAGCTATTAATAAAACATTAAAAAACTTTTATTATAGTTTAAATTCATGACTTTAATGAGCCAAAAAGAATCCTGAATTTTGGAGCAAGTACCCCAAACACTGCCAAACCATTTCCTCAGCAAAAGCCATATAGGTCTAGCAACAGACAAAGACACTCCGTAAAATTTCCGGTTATTTTAACGTCCATATGTAAACACTTCAAATAAGTAAAAATCAGATCAAATCCAGAAATTTTGAACATACTCTATAAGATTTAAGCTCTCTTTTCATAAATTTCTTTGTCCGAATTGTAAGTATGTGAAAGTCACCTTTAGCAGTAGCCCCTTTGATGCTAATAAACAAACATTAGATGTTCTGCCACAATGCAATGAAAATGTAGCAAGTCTATATGGGATAGTCCAAATAGAAAACCAAGAGCTAAAGCTAATTAGCTTCTCCTGAGGAAGTAGCTCTCCACATCCCTACTAGATTAGATTTACTCCGGTGCGGTCAGCGTGCTCATCCCACCACCGCCACCGCATATATTATGACGCCCTAGTATCACGCCGTTGCAAAACTTCGCTCACCATCGATGAACGTTCCCTCGGCGCGGTCGGAAACCGCTTGCAGAAGTACGGTGGCCACCGGGATCATCATCACTGCGCCGGGTGTGTGCATTTCCACATATCACAAAAGCTGATGTGCTAATATCCCCAACAGATAGGAGAGGAGGATTGCACAGGATCTCCACAGAAAAATGAAGTATCTGCAAAAGAACGAGATGGTCTCCTTTATGCGAGTTTTTATTTGTAGTAAGAACTTGAAATGGTTATAAATAAAATTCTGTAAGGCAAGACTCACTATAGTTGAATCATTACATTGAGGCGAGGCGTCTGGGAATGTTGTAGTGTTCAACTGCTTAATGCAAGCATAAGCTGCCAAGCACTAAGGGCATAATATTCATCCATATATGGACTTGGCTACTTCGTCCGCCTTGGCGAGGCCAAAGGAGAGGGAGAG